CCCCAAAACCCCAAAACCCCAAAACCCCAAAATCCTATCAAGAGATTCGTAAAGTTGATTGACATATTAAGTATTCAAGCAATTTTATTAATTAAACAAGGAATTGAACTTTAATCGAGATTATATAAAATCAAATAGTGCATATTAATTAAAGGCGCCTGCGAATAATAGTAAAATTAAAGTGTATTTGCGCCATAATTTTAAATGGACAACGAAGCTATGCACCCGAGAAAAAGGTTACGCCGTAATGATGACACATTAGAAAATGATAGTACTATAATGAATTAACAAAATCTTTCAAAATCCACCAACGGTGGCGCGCCTACTTAGTTTGGCAGCTAAGTTAATCTTCAGCGAACCTAATTTGCTACTAATAAAAATATCAGCTCTGACTTTTATGCTAATCTAGCAACTAGCTATTTGTCTAAATCTAAGCCAAGTAATGGGCTCTAAAAGCAATAGATAGATCAGAATCCAAGTCAATAGAACTCGAGAAAGAGCAGTTTCTCCAATAGCAGTCAAAGAAATTTCAACTAGAATTCAAACGCTTCAAATATGCAAGACAGTAAAAAAAGATCATACTCTTAAATGATGAAGTAAGATCAAGGCACAGGCCAAGCTGGAGCTAATACAAATAACGCTGTGAGTAAGGGAGACAATAGTAGGCGTTCCTCTTCAAATTATAATAGCTACAATGGAGCTAGTAATCAATATAGATACAATAGATTTTACAAGACAAACAACAACAATAGCAGTAATGCCTTAAACTCAAAGGAAAGCTCAAACTCAAGATATAGATCATCATTTAATTATAAAAATTTTTACTCCTCTTCTAGGTACGCCAACAAATTCGCAAAAGGAGCTAGTAAACAAAATAACTTCTCAAAGAGACGTAGATTAAGAAGAAAAGACGAGGAGGACGATGAAGAAGAATATCAAGTAGAATAAGATGAAAATGGTCAAGAAATAGCAGAAGTAAAAGGAAAGAAGAGACTACGTAGATTGAATAGAGGAGGTGAGGATAATGAGGATTATGGACCAGAAGCTTCTCCTGATGAACATGAAGGTGGCTCGTCATAGGATCAATATGAAAGTGATTTCATAAATGATGATAAAGTTGAATATGATGAATAAGGAGACAAATCTATTAGGAAAGGCCAAGATCCCAAGTAAAGCAATTTAGAATAAAAGGGAAAGCAACCTAATGTTAAGTTACACTCATCAGAAGAAGAGTATTACAGCAAATCATAGATGAGCATTGAGGAAGATCATGATGATGTCGATCTTTATGATTAGTTGATGCTTGCAGCTGATTAATAAGAAGGGGGTTTTAAGCATGATCCTCTAGATGGTCTTTATTACCTCCCAGACGGGTTTTGCCTTCCAGAAGAGACCTACAGTAATTTATTCCCTCATTAGAAGAAAGGAATTACTTGGCTTTACAATTTATACAGATAAAACTTAGGAGGCGTGCTTGGTGATGATATGGGACTGGGTAAAACCGTTCAAATTTGTGCTTATTTAAAAGGACTATTTGATTCAGAGTAAATTAAGAAAGTAATTATTGTTGTGCCTGCAACAATGAAATCTTATTGGCACGCAGAGTTATCAAAATGGTGCTCAACAGCCCCTAACATTGTGTAGTTTGAGGACAAAAAGAAATCTGAGAGAGAAAAGCAAATAAGAACAATGAAAAAGAAGGGAGGAATATTAATCACAAGTTATGGAATGGTAACTAGTGAAAGAATCAACCTTCAAGAAATGAGATATGACATAGTAGTTGTCGATGAGGGTCATAAAGCCAAGAACATCAACACAGAATTAAGAAAGAATTTAGTTGCTATGAGAGTAAAGGGGCATAAAGTTCTGCTTTCAGGAACCCCACTATAAAATAATCTTACTGAACTCTGGTCTGTGTTTGATTTCGTATAGCCTAAAATATTTGGTAGCTTTAACAATTTTTAAAAAGATTATGCAGAGCCGATAGAAAAAGGTCTACTAAAGGACTCAAATGCAAGGGAAAAAGAAAGAGCTTAAGATCTCTCCAATAAACTTAGGAAAATGTATGATCTGCACTTTCTCAGAAGAACTAAAAATTAAATATTTACAGTGGTGAGTGCAGAGCTGCTTGGAAGGCCTTTGAGAAATAATGAATTACCTATAAAAACTGACCTTGTTGTTTGGCTTCCTTTGTCAGAAGTACAAAAGCGAATTTACAAATTCATCCTTGAAAATTAAACTCTGCAATAACTAATTGAAGATAGAGAGATAAAAAACGCCTTTTTTATTCTATCCTATATCAAGAAACTTTGCTAGCATCCGCAATTACTTGCCTCAACTAGTGTTTAAAAGAGAAGATAAATGGGTCTTTTGATGTCAGAAGAGTAAGAAATGCTAGAGAGATTAGAAAAAGAAGAAATGGAGAGAGATTAATAGATGAAAGAACAATCTAGAATTAAGACTAGAAAATCGATGGAAGAAGCTAAGAAAAAACAGAAAAAGTAACTTTAAGCTCTTGAGGCTTCAAATAAAAAAACTAAAGTAAATCAAGCAGTGGAAGAGGAAGTCCTTAAATCATTGAATGAGCTCAATAAAAATTAAAAGACTGCTGATGATGATGGCGAATGGGAATACAGCATTGATGCCATGGCTAAGAAATTGAAAACTCAAGATGAAAATAAGAGGAAACTAATAGAAGATGAATAAAAATTGAAAGAATCTTAGAAACTAAAAGAGATTTAAGTCCATCAAGAATAAGTTAAAGTACTTCATCAGACCTTTGGACTTGAAAGTATCATACAGGATATTTAAGAAAAGTTCAATAAAAATGATATAGAATCTATGATTGCTTATTCAACAAAGTGTACCTTCCTATTCAAACTAATGCAGGAATTAAAAAGAGATGGGCATCGTCTCCTAATATTCTCCATGAGTAAGAAGATGTTAACTTTGATTGAGGACATCCTAAAAAATGAAATGTATAAGGATCAATATAAGTATCTTAGAATTGATGGAGATACTGAAATATCGAGTAGAGAAGCAATTTGCTAACAATTCAATGCAGATGAATCATATTTCTGTTGTTTACTGACTACTAAAGTTGGTGGATTCGGTTTAAATCTTACAGGGGCTAATAGAGTAGTTATCCTTGATCCTGATTGGAATCCTGCTAATGACAACTAAGCTATTGATAGAGTATGTAGAATAGGCTAAAAGAGAGATGTAATTGTTTACAGACTTGTTTCAAGTAATGGTATTGAAGAAAAGATTTATAGAAGATAAATATATAAAAGAGGAATAAATCTTTAAACAATTGAGACATCTGATACTAGTGGAATACCTTCAAATGGAAATGGCAATACATCTGCAGATTTCTTAAAGTATTTTGGAGACTCTGATTTATTTGAACTATTTGCATTTGATTACTAATCTGAAAAATGTGAGACTTTAGATCTCCTATTAGAAAGGGACGGATTCAATCCTAATAAAACTCCAACCATAGATAAGCATATCGATTTTTTGAGGTCACTATAAGGTATAGTTACTGGATTATCCTTAAATTCAAACTTATATTCAAAATCAAATGAACAAGAGGAAGATGGAAATAATGATTAAACTGCTGATGTTAGAGGGGCTAAGGGTATGGAATAAGAATCAAACTCAACTTAAGAAGATAAACTATCAGCTCTCAAGACACATAAAGCTTAATCTAGCACTGGAACTTATAATTTAAATACCAGATCAAATTTGATGTCTAAATAAAAATAAAGAGTATAGGAAAAATCAGAAGATGCTAGGATGACAAATTAAATTAAAACAGATCAGGTAGAAGAAAATGCTGAAGAGGATCATAGTAAAGTTGCATATGTTTACAAGAATTAAAGAAGATTGGTGAAATTAGTTAGCTAATAATAGCAGCCAACATCTGGAACTAACTCAGCTATGAAATATATTTCTGATGGCTAGAAATCAATTGATAAAACTTAAGCCTTAAGTTCGTTGGACAAATATGCTTGCAACATCATAAATACTGGTAGAAGACCGAACAGCAGCAACTTATTCAAATGAGGATAGGATTGAATTGTAATTATGTGGCAAGGACTACTTGTAGTAAATTAATTTGGATTAAATAATTGAATTTTACACAGTATTAAAACAAAAATTAAATTCTTATGGGGTTTTGGGGTTTTGGGGTTTTGGGGTTTTGGGG